TAAGTTGGATAGCTTTAACCCTTATTTAAGATATATGTGGCATACTCCTAAGAAATAAGGTGGCGATTGGTCATTAATATTACAGCCCACATAGAAATACTATCGCTTGCATAAAAAAAGAAAAAATACATGAGAGTTACTCATTAAGAACACGTGTGTGCACTTTTTATTTGTTTATGTTATGTGATATCTAATAGTTTATTCTATATCGCATTAGGAGTTGTTCTTATTTTTCAGTAAGTGTATATTCTGTGATGAAAAATGACCTTTTCTTGTGGTATCATAAATGGAGAGTAAAACAAATTCATGTATGGTATCAGTTGAATATCAGACATAAAACAGTCGACATGTAAGTCTGAAAAAAAGTCTTGACTTGAATTTATGATGTTCTTTTGTAAATACAGTTATCTACATATACTTGACCAGAAAAAATGTCTCTCTTCTACAAACGAGAGATTGTGTTATACACAGGTGGTCAGTTAACTTAGAAGCGGAAGAGAAAGACTGTCAGCTGTGTAGACGCGCTGGACTCGAGAGGGCGGTCAATCATAAAGCATCTGTCTAAAAAAAACAAAAACTCAAAAATCATGATAGTAATTCGATTTAAAACGTCTAACCCCAAACCGAAAGTTTAGGGTTAAACGCAACCGGGGGTGTTCAAAAAAACGTCTCTCTTCTCCCCCACTCGTGATATAGAGAATTTGGAATGACTGCGTGAGAGAAAAAAAAACGCAACTTGATACAAGTTTAGAGAACTCGTCGCGATGTGTGTGTCGAGCAAGCAAAAAGCAGAAGGAACCAAAAGCGGCACGTGATTGGGAGTAGCACAGAACCAACAAGTAGGGTTCTATAGATCCAATATCCAGAATTTTGATGTGACAGGAAAATGCGAGTACCCCGAGAAAAACTCACTTCCACTACCCGGACACTGTATATTCTATCCAGTTAGTGCCTGAACTATGTACCTGAAACGAGAGAAAGAAGACAGACATATATGATTAGCGCACTACGTGTTAACTGTTACAAGTGTAATAAGGAGACTGGTGGGTGCGCCATGTTTCGGGTGTTGCTGCTAATATTGGGAATTGCTTTGTCAAAGTGCTTCGTGTACTAGCAATCTGATAATATTTTTTGGCTAATTTTTGGATACGGTGTTGAAGACTAGGCAGAATCTTTAGAGAATCAAGATATATGGGTGGGGTATGTTTGGGGAGACGTAAGGCTAATCGAACGGCATTATATTGCAGAGCTTTGAGTTTCCTGGTTAGGTTATTAGGCATATTACATGTGATCATGCATCCATATTCTATTAGTGGTCTGATAAAAGTTTTGTAAATTGTAATAATGGTATCAGGTGCGCAGCCGATATGAATCCCACGTTTTTCTTTAACAACAAAAGACGTTGGTTTGCTGATTTCCTGATGTTAGTGAAGCGATCGGTCCATGTTAGGACACGGTTAGTTTAGCATTCAGAATTTAATAACTGATTTTTTTGTATTCGTAATTTATTCTTTACCATACCTTGACATGCCAACAGCTTTCAGCAATGGAAAAGAAGATGCTAATATTGAAATAGAAGGTAAATACGTAATAAAATGAAGTTACGATCCACTATTACGGAACAACAAACTTATACGAATACGAGTTTTAATATCGCCCCCCAGTGGCACAGCGGTATGTCTGCGGACTTACAACGCTAGAAGCCGGGTTTCGATACCCGTGGTGGGCATTGTATAGCTTTGTGCTTAATTACAAACAATGAGTTTCAATATTTTCACCTATCCGTCCATCCTCTTCAGTCCAACTTTTCATTTTATACTGATATTTAACTTTAAAACATAGCTAATTAGAAATGACAGAATTTAAATTAAGTATTATCACTTAACTCATCATTTTAGTAGAACTAAAAGTAAAAAAGGAGTATGCTACTTTGCTCTATACTTCAGTAAAGCTCAAATGTTGTTATAAAAATAAACTTATCGCTTGAAGTTCGTGAATTATTTCCGGTTAATACTTCATACCGCTTGGCTGGTTGGTTCATGATGGTTCTCAAACTCGTCCATACGTGCAGGCAACATAAGACACATTTGTTATACCACGTATATTGACCTCCAAAATTCTGTTGTATTCAGTTATCCTTCCTATATGCATCTCAAAAATCATTTTATTTGTAAACACTCGAAAATAACTCAATGAAAACACATGTACGATGAAATTTAAGATGCAAATTTATTTGAATAGATAACAAAACGATCTGAATATTTAATGATGTTGATAAAAAAACGCAGTTTAGCAGTATTAGGGAATTAGTAAATAATGATTAATGTAGTTCTCAAGCGGACATATATTATATATTCATTCCATACAAAATAAAATAATAGACGATTGGTTAGAACACAATTTTATACAAACAGTTTTCATCATGAACACAGGTGGTCTCAGAGCACGTAATGTTTGTAGTTTTTGAAGTTGAACTCCTCAGCTCAGTTTTTCCACTACTCCTCTCGTAGCTGAGATAGCTAGTAATTTAAACCTTTTATAACTGGTATGAAATAACTATGAAGTCAGGTACATTCGTGACATTCTCTTTAAACGGATGTCGAAAGGTCATACTGCGCATTTTCTTTTACTTAGGTAAGGATTACATATGGCAAGGACTAGGAACTTGTAACACTTTGGCCTTCTGTCTGTGTCCACCACTCCATGAGGAGGGGGGACCCAATTTCAAGGGGTAACACTGAAAATTATACAGGTTAATATCAGTTGTTGTTTTTTTATTTGAGTTTATTTGTTTTAAAGCAAAGCCATAAATGGCTATTTGCTGTGTCCACCGCGGAGAATCGAACTCCGGATTTTAGCGTTGTAAGTCCATAGACTTACCGCTGTCCCACCGGGGGACACGTAGCTTTGGATTATGGGATCCCTTATTTTGACCGTTTTGATCTGAAAGTGCGGCTATCACAATCCTTTCTGTCCTTGACGTATGCGGATGTGTTTGGAAACTATTTCTTCACTCCAGCAGCCAGTATATGGAATATAGATACCGGCCAGTAGTAAAGACTCATACATACGTATTTTTAAATGAAAATATTGTTTTATTTGTTCAATTTTGTTTTATTCGCTGTCCATGTTTGAAATTATTTTCTGTAGTACATTTCTGGAATATACGTTCAAGCGGTTTTTCTAAACTACCTAGCAGATATCAGTATGCCTGAATATCACACTCTTATATTTTTCATTCCTCCTACACAATCTCCTCTAATCAGAGATGGCTTCTACTTAGTGACCACAAATTAGAAAAAAAAAAACCCAAAAAACGGGAGAATTGCGCATAAATTAATTTTAGTAAATACCTGTTTTCTACGAAATTTGATCTTCACCTTTATGCAAAATTACATTGATACCAATTTTCACTAACTTGAGCCCCCCCAGTGGCACAGCGGTATGCAGAGCACAGATAGCCCATTGTGTAACACTAACTTGAAGAAATAGAGGGCTTACTTTCCACAAGTAGTGCAGGAATGCAACCGACCAGGTGCTTTAATATTGCATGCGAACGGGTCTATACTCTATAGAGAAATAATACGTAATTCAGCGCAGCTTTTAAAAACATGCAGATACAGCGACCTCTAGCACAAGTGATCCACAAATGTGCGAAAGCTTCTACTGGTCAGGTAGTAAATAATGCCTACTGTTATGCACATGTTTTGTGCCTGCATTAAACACACACACCTGCTTTTAACCTTTTCCGTCCGTTGAGTACATACGGGTTGAGCTACTCTGCCCTTATGTTTGTACCAACAGTTATTAAAAGAAAAGTAAAACGTGGCAAGCCGATCCCACAAAAAATGTTTTTTCTCAATGTTGAATCTTGGCTATATCTTCTTGATTTAGTATTGGTGCATAAGGTACGACGAAAAGGTAAGTGTTTGTTTTTCATCCATAGTTGTTAATGTTTGAAAAAAGGCGAAGAAAATTACCAGGTAGAAAAGAATGTCTGTTTGTTTAACAGCATAGCCGCATCTGATTTATCCACCGCGGGGAATAGAACCCCGGATTTTAGTGTTATAAGTCCGTAGGGTTACTGCTGTCCTACTGGGGGTGGGGATTTTATTGTACTTAATCAGTTTAAAGTATTATTTTACAATTATAGATAATTATTTTGTTTTCTTTGGATGTTCTTAAGCACAAAGCTACACAATGGGCTCCCTGTGCAGTGCCCGCCACGGGTATCGAAACCCAGTTTTTAGCATTATAAGCCTTCAGAATTACCACTGAGCAACTGGGGGGGGGCAAGCATAGACCAATCGTGATGCATGCAACTCAAGAAACGAACTGATGTGATTCCTATCGATTTTTCAAAAACAGTAAAAGAAGACGATAAAAACCGACTAAAGTTAACTAATATGGCATAGTTATCAAATTAATGCTGAAAACTGATAAAAATGGAGCTATTAGAGTAACACAGAACTATTTAAACTTTTTATTGCACAAACTAATGAATGTATTAAAAGTTCATTAGCTTCATCATATTCACCAGAAATAATTAATTTTTAACATTACACGTATGCTCAAAGAAATGTCTGTAGATTAATCAGGTTATACAAATGGCCACAGCTGTTTAAAGTCTCTCTACAGGCTGTTTTTAAATTGTTAAAAAAAAAGAAATCAAGTAATTAATATCAGAGTTAAAAGATGATTGCTGTCTTGCTGCACGTCCAGACTGACAGGGAAACATATTAATTACACGACACAAATATGCGTGGCCAAGACAGATGTGTATGAGAGGGTGACGTAGTTTAAGATGGACGTTAGAATGTTAAGAAGGAAGTAACCACTCCCCTTAGCTAAGACTTGAAACGAAAGGAAGCCTCTCACACTTTGTAATACACAACTTCCAAGAGAGAGAATATCCTTGTGGTGACGCCAGTGTTAGTGGGCGTGCTTAAGTGTCATTCAAGGATAAGCTAGTATAGTAAATGTCATAATGAGTACGCTCACTCACTCTGCTGTGTCAAACGTGCACGCGTTTGTTGCCAGCGCCACCATGCAGCGAATCATTTCTCTGTGAATCACTCTACTGGTAGCTCAACGCGTCAGACATTTCATAGCTTATCCTATACTGCTAAAACGAGACACTCCTATTCAGTTCTAGAACATCAGTCTTACTGGTGGCATGGTCTTGGGTCTTGTCATCCCTGTTTTTGTGAACTCCTTGACATTTCCTTCGGATGGATAACAGGTCCAACAGTTTGGCGACGCCGACCATAGTTTTAACTTGATAACGTGCTGTTTCTTCTAGGCCTAAATTTGTATTTGTTTGGACGATATAGAGTAGAGCGTTGAAAACGGAGTCATCATGAGAGATGTACAACGGTATGCATGGTCGAATAAAAAAACTCCAAGGAAAAAACGTAAGTAGTTTCTATTTTGTGTACAGGACCTACTGACCCACTAAAAGGACGATTCACCCACCAGATTAATTTTTGTTTTTCAACAACACACTTAGATTCTTATGTAAAAGTTTTTTAGCAAATTAAACAAGTCTTATTAACTATTTTCAAATGTGCACGAACATTAGTGACTATGTAACAGTTTTCCATCTTTCTCTCAGTATATATACATAGGAAAAATGAGATCTCCTGCATCAACGTTTATGCTGTGTTTGAGCTCCAAAGTGTTATCGGTTATTATTTTCTATCCTTTTCTCAGATGTATTAGACTAGAAAAAGAAGTTTATATATAATGCACTAAAAAACCGCTAGCAATAAAAACCAACTTGTATGCTTTCATACCATATTTCCTGTGTTATTTACCTGTATAATGAGCACCGTGCACACGTTTTTCTATTATATGTGACTGTCATGTACTGTTTCCTGTATGTATGTGACATGTACTGTTTCCTGTATTATATGTGACTGTCATGTGCTGTCCTGTATGTATGTGACATGTACTGTTTCCTGTATTATATGTGTGCATTTGAGTGTCATGTGCTGTATCCTGTATTGTATGTTTGCATGCGAGTGTCATGTACTGTCCTGTATTATTTATGTGCATGTGAGTGTTATATGTGCTGTGTCTTGTATTATATGTGTGCATGCGAGTGTCATGCACTGTGTCCTATATTATATGTGTGTATTTGAGTGTTATATGTGCTGTGTCCTGTATTATATGTGTGCATGGGAGCGTCATGTGCTGTATCCTATATTGTATGTTTGCATGCGAGTGTCATGTACTGTGTCCTGTATTATATGTGTCATGCGCTGTGCCCTGTATTATATGTGTGTATGTAAGTGTCATGTGCTGTGTCCTGTATTATTTGTGTGCATGTGAGTGTCGTCCAACTTGGCTAGCACACAAATATGTATTTATGGTTGAAAACATAGAAAACATAAGAAGAAAAAAGCTAAAGTACAACAACAACAGTTACTACCAAGTAACCTGAATTGCGCACTTACAAACGTGCTACGATAGGACTTTATATTTTGGAGGTGTGTCTGTGCTTTGACTGGTGCTAACAGACCCCTCTGGCTCGTAACCATAACCAGTTAAATAAGGTGATTTGGTACTGATTATGGATGCTGGGTGATTCATTACGGGATATTACTCATGTAAAATGCAATGCAAGATGATTCAAAAAACGGAACTGACGAGATGAATGTACATGTGTTTTATAAGGAAATGCTTCACACTTCACAGCGAAAATATCCTACTTATATTACGAATTTTAAGCTCCAATAAATTATTTCAATCACTAGAAGTGAAGATATTCTGCTTGAAATTACAGAAGAGAAAGAAAACTTTGACAGTTCTGGTCTACGAACATGAGTTTGTTTTTGTTTCACTATATATTTTCTTACTATGTCGGATGTTACTGTAGGTTGATAAAGTCATTGACGTAGGGAATGTTCATTTTCATAAGTTAAAAGGTTGAAACGGTCCATTTACTCAATAGCTTTGCAGTGATTGATAGTCAGTATTCGTTGACTGTGACTATTATGGAGACGCGACCGTCAGAGAGGGAGGTATATTGTTGGGATGGAATAATTTGATAAGCTTCTGTTTGTCGTTAATCGTAAAGTTACACAATGGGCTATCTGTGCTGCTCCCACAACTGGTATCGAAACTCAGTTTTAGCAATATGAGCCCTCAGACTTATCGATGAGCCACTGGGAGTGGGGGGGGGGGTAGTATAAACAACTCGTAATGTATGCAAAAAGATTTTGTTTGCGGAACAGAAATATTTGAGAACCAAAGATCATATAGAATGTGGATGTGCACCATTGAATATAGGATTACTGGATGACCAACAATACACTCATTTGTATCTGTTCACAGAAAAATCACAAAATAAAAATCAAATTCTAAGTATGACTAACCCGAAAACTAAGAGCCATGCAGAATATGGAATGACACCACTGGGTAGAGTGCCACTAGAAGACCTAAAATGCACCCATCCACACTCCTCTAAAACCCTCAATTTAAAGAAAAATGTAAACACAAATAACTTAAAAACATAAGGGTCATGTAGAACGCGGACGTGAACCATTGAGCATTGAACCATTGGAAGACTGTCCACCTCTCAAAGGAAGTTACTGAAGGAATAACTCAAAAACTAAGAATCATACAGAATGCGACCATTTACCACTGAATAGAAAATACTGGAAGACCTAAACACCCCAGCTGCACAAAATAAAACATGTAAACAGGAATAGCGTAAAAGTCAAGTCATATAAAATTCGGACCATTGAATAGAGGAACACTGGAAGACTTAGATTACGCTCTAGTAATTCGAGAACAAAACGGATCTCAAAACTGAGGTATTGTTTCAAAATATTGTTATACACGTTTCTCTTATACACATGAACATCCTTACCCAAAATACTTTGTATAATTGTTCCGTTCTTAGCCGCAGCATAGCATAGTTTTTCAAGTACAAACGTTTAGCTCATAGCTACATCTCTTGACCGATTTGAGATCTAATTACAGTTTTTGGCACAGGAGGGCAAACTCTTTCGAATTATTTATTTGACCACGCCCAAGGTCTTATAAATTAATTTACCCTAGTCCTGCCTAAAATAATTTCAATTTGAGGGCATCCTGGTAGAGATCCTGATGAGCAATAAAATCGAATCGGGCATACGTAAGCACCACGCGTGGTTTGCTGTTGAGGTGTTTGAGTGGGTATGCAGTCGAAATTTTGGAATTATTTTACTTACTAGAGGGTAATTGAAGTAACGTCCATTAAACTTTCATCAACAGTTTCTATGTCAGCATGTTGAGCAAGTATCCTGTTCTAACGAGCTTGGAGGGCTCACACAAAAGATAGTAATATATGCAGTTACATATTTGTATACTTTCATTATGGTTTAGCTTATTGTAATTCTAAATCTGTTAAGCTTCTATGCGTATGCGAAACTAATATTTCTCCTGCAGCACAGTGTCACCCATTTTTCCATACTTGTTTCCATTTATATAAGGTAAGTATAAAAGAAGTGTAACTTATGCTTCTAGATATCCTAGTGAAGACAAAATCGGTTCTCAGTTTCCTGTGAGACTAGAGTAGAAATAGTTACAATTAAAAAGTGTTTTTTTTTCTGTTATTTTGATTATTAAAAAAAAACGAATAATAATTAGAAATCAGTGATCTGAATTTTGTAATTAAAAGTTTATTATTTTTACCGCTGTAAGTCTACAGCAAGTCCAAACGTTAGTAACAACAAATTTCTTTTTTTTTGTTTGTTTGTTTGAAATTAAACACAAAGCTACATAATGGGCTATCTATACTCTGCCCACCACGTGTATCAAAACAATGGTTTAGTAAACCTAGAAAAAATCTAAACTTCATTTATACTTGTTATGGTTTTTATATACCTTACTATCTTGTGCTTTTAAACTTTTGTTTATAGAGGGTTGAGTGCATAATATTAAAACGACTATCAATATGCAAATCAGCCAGTCACGTGATAACCACAGCACATATAAAGTTGCGATGGAAATGTATTGGAACAACATTTTTGGCATTTTTTTGTGTTTCGTGGGTAGTGTGATGCCACTTTTTGGAAAGGATATGTAACAGCCCTTTCAGGCGCAAAATATTCATATACTCAGGTCATAATGCTGTCTTCAGATCGGGGATTTACAGTTTCCAAGATAAGTATATACCTCGTACTTAATGACATTAGAAAATAAAGGAATATGGATCATCTTGGGGCCCCATAACCATACATAAAGAGACCTGCAAAAAGTCTTACTCCAGCTGTGGTAAGCAAAAAGACACAAGTTGTAACAAATGAGAATTCACTATCACAAAGATCAGTGGGAAAAGCTATCCACGTTCCCCAGGCAACAGTACACAACGTGATCAAGAAGGATCTCTTTCTGGAAACGAGACCAGAAGGTATACATTTACCATGATAAACTTTCAGTCATACTTCCGTTCAATTGTCGAGTACCTCAATCAGCTGGAAAACGAAACGGGTATTCATGCTATTCCATATGAAGACATGCCGATGATGTACTCGGACTGTTGAAAAGGGTGTTGAGAAACTATCGTTCTAATACACTAAATAAGTGCTTCCCAACCTGGGCGGTACCGCCCCCAATTGGGCGTTTTTTAAATTCAGGGGGACAGTGCACTTTGAGAGGACGGCAGGGGGCTGA